CCCCGATTCAGCTGCTGCTGAAACTGACCAGCAGCGGCTGAATCAGGGACGCCTGGGGCAGAGCCGGACTATCGTAAGGGGGGGCTATGAGGGGCCTGGGGTGGCATCCCCTCCCACCCTACACCAGACCCTTCATAGCCCCCCCTTCTGATAGTCCGGCATATCTGATAATCCGGCACCCCCTGGGTCCTAAAGGTGCCAGATTATCGGAAGCTTACTGTATTTTGATTGTTATTTTGAGAGTTATTATTTCATTTTGACTCATTTTGAAATTATTTTCTAGTGTAGATATGCCATAAGGTGCTGCAGGACTCCTTGTTTTGGGTAAAATTTATGTAATGCCATTTGAAGGGCCTTACATGCTTGAAAATAGAATCTATAGTAACAGAGAGGTATCCGTGTTAGTCTGAGCCTGCTAAAACAAAAGGAAAAACTATGTAGCACTTAGTTTGATCTTGGTCAAACAAAAAAAGCTGTCATGTAGCGCTTTAAAGACTAACAAGATGGTTTATTAGGTGATGAGCTTTCATGGGGCAGACCCACTTCTTCAGATCATATTCTGAAAGTGAAATGGCATTACCATTATATAACAGAGGAATACAATGAAGAAGTAAACAAATCAGCTACATAGAATAGAAGGTAGGGGTGAGGGGACAAGGAAGAGACAAGGAAGGAGGACATTGCTTATTGTAAAAGTCAAGTAAGTGGCTAATCTGGAATTACTATAAATATCAAAAGCTGGGGAGTCTGTCTTTATAGTATGTAAGGTAATTATCATCTAAATTAAGGCCCATTCGCAACATGTCAGATTTTAGCATAAATAAAAGTTCTGAAGTCTCCCTCTATAATCTGGTGTTAGTCTCTTTGAAGTAAGACGCATGTTGTCAGGTCTTTAAGGGAATGGCCAGTTTGGTTTAAATATCAGCTTACAGGTTTCTCTGTCTAGAGATGTCTGACTTGTGAGCATTAATTCTCTGGCAAAGTGAATGATCACTTTGTCCAATATACATTGCAGAGGGACATTGCTGGCACATTATGGCATATATCACATTGCTGGACATACAGGAATATGAGCCCTTGATCGTATAACTGACATGGTTAGGTCCAGTGATGGTGTCTCCAAAGCTGGCAATGGGGTTTGTTGCAAGGGAAAGTTCCAGGGTTAGTATTAATGTGGTTTACCCTGTGGTTGTTAGTAAGAATCTTCCTGAGGTTAGGTGGTTGTCTATAGAAGAGTATAGGTCTGTCACTCAGACTCCTGGGGTATGTCTAGACTACATGGCTCCGTCAACAGAGCCATATAGATGAGTTTACTAGACGTAGGAAAATGAAGCAGAGATTTAAATAATCGCCACTTCGTTTACATCAAAATGGGCGCCGTGCTGTACCGATCAGCTGTTTGGCGGCACAGAGAGGCAGTCTGGACGCGCCACGGTCGACAAGGGAAGCCTTTGTCGACCGCTCCGGTAAACCTCATTTCACGAGGCATACTGGAGTGGTTGACAAAGGCTTCCCTTGTTGACCGTGGCGCGTCCAGACTGCCCAGCTATGCCACCAAACAGCTGATCGGCACAGCTATGGAGCTATGTAGTCTAGACATACCCCTGGAGTGTAGCATCCTGTTCCAGTATAGGTTATAGGTTATTGATAATGTGCTAAAAGGGTTTGAGTTGGGGGCTATAGGTAATAAGTGGTATCCTATTGTTGATTTTCTTGGGCCTAACTAGAAGTAGCTGGTTTCTGGGTATTTGTCTGGCCCTTTCAATCTGTTTTTTTTTTTTTAAACTTCCCCCGGTGGGTAGTTGAGTTTTATGAATGCTTGGTAGAGATCTTGAAGTTTTTGGTCTCTTATCAGTGGTATTGGAGCAGATGCGGTTGTATCTAGGAATCTATAATAAGTCTTAGCCCATGCACCTCTTCTTTCTGCAAATGGACAAGAAGCGTTTGTTTAATCTGAACAAGTTGATTTGGTTGTTATAGCCCTATGAAATTATTTGCTAGTGCTCTGGAAAGAAACAGGACTCTGTCCTCAAGTCAATGAAGTTGGACGCTGCAGCTGGTGTTATAGTCAAAGGAATGGTCTTCCTCTACAGTAGGGTTGCCAGTTTTGGTTGGATGTATTCCTGGATATTTCATCACATGACATAATCCTTGGAGGCTTGGCAACCCTACTCACAATGGGGTCTGTAGAAACCATTGTGACACCGTGGCATAAGTGATATAGGGATTTTAGGATCTATCACAAAACCTCTTATTTTTTCAAATATAGATTAGAATAGCCTTATCGACTTCTGACTTTTTCAGAAATCATTACTTGTAACTATAATTATGATGATGTCTGCATGGGACACAAAATGGTAATTCTGATCATATAGTAAATTAGTTTTAAAATTCCAGAAGCATTGTTTAATAGTCTTCAAAAATGTACTTCATATTACCACTGAATGACATTAGTATCTTAAAGAAATATTCATTTTATGTTCTTGCAGATGAGGTCTTCTAACCTGAGTCACTCCTTTAATTTTATAGTGGGCCCCTTAATTAAATTTTTTTGTTTTGTTTTTTAAATAATCTTGGGACTAATGTTGGTTTGTGTGTGTATATGTGTATGTGTATACTTTATTCCAAAGATCTTTTTATGA